CATAAAACACACGTGTCTATTGGGCTTCACACGTGAGGCAACTTGCTATGAGGAAGTTAAGATTCCACCATAAAACCAATTGACAATATGAAAAGTAAATCAACTTAATTATAAGTATATGCAAAATTTCTTCCTCATCAATGTGAAATAAATTATCCACAAAAATACATTTTGATAGGGAAACGTTTAAGAAACACATGTCATGTACTTCTTAAAAAAAATACTTTCAATTGCCTCTCTAAAAATCACTTGAATTCTAAATTTATAATAAAAGAAATTCATGTGCTAATAATAAAAGAGTGTTTCATACACATGCAATTCCAACTATCCCCACACTTTTTAACGCAATTTACAGCAACAATTATTATTGATCATCTTAAAAAGTAGGGAAATAGGACGTTTCAAATATGCACACGGCATCCACACGCCATTGACAAAAATCGGATAGAAATAGGATTTTCCTACACCTTTAAATGACCAAATTGTCCTCCCATATAAATGGGTTATCAAAAAATTTCAGCCTTCATTTCTCATTTTGTAGAGAGAGAAACAGAGAGGAGAGAGCTCTCTCGCCCAATTCCAATTCGAAGAACCCTAACCCACCTCTTCTTCATCCAAGAGCTCTCTCTAACACACCCATCTTCTTCATCCAACCTCTCTCTCTCTCTATCTCTCTCTCTCTCTCTCTCTCTCTCTCTCTCTCTCTCCCCTCTCTCTCTACATTTCGAATATGCACAAGAGCTCTCTCTCTAACCCACCCGTCTTCTTCGATTTTTACCTTTTCATTTGTAGGTTTTGTGAATTGGGTTTACTTAATTTTGCTTTTTGATTAATGGATTTTTGGAGTTGAAGTGATTGGTTTGGTGTTTCTTAGAGGAGACCCAAATCCTTCAATTTTGATATATTTTTATTTTTATCATTTCTCTTATTTATATGTGGGTTTTCATTTCTCCTGTCTTCTCCCTCCCTCTACTCCCTTTTTCGATCCAAATTTACAAGCACTAAAATAGGGTTTGGCTTTTGCTGCAATTAAATGAAAAAAAACGTATTAAAGGCCAGTTGCCTTTTGGAGGAGAGATAAATTTGAGGGAAAAGAGAGAAATTTGAGTGAAAAGAAGGAAGAGAGAAGGATATGGATGAAATTGTTTTGCGTACTCGTTCGCTCTCTTCGTATTAAGCTTGCTTATACACTGTATGTACACGACATGTACATGACATGCACATGTTATGCTCACAGATCTGAGCTAAACGCAAAAAAATTGTGAAAATTGCATAAATTTGTGAATTTTTTTTTCCGTAATGTGTATGTGGTGTGCATATGGTCTGTATGACTACATCTTAATATGAGAAGCGGAAATGTTCACTAGCTATGATGCATGTATGTTGTGCCCTAGAATTTAGTAAGTATGACCACAACTTAGTTGGCATCTGCGAAAAAATAAATTAAGAAAAAGCTTAGAAGACGTTAAGGATCATGCGTGTCCATGAAATAACGACAACGAGTATCATGTTTTCCATGTGCACTGTTAAGCAGTGATTGATGTACATAACAAGATTTTTCAAACTGCCACTGTAACCTTATATACGTAACAATTATGTTTTAATTGTATCCACTATATCAATAGGTTGCTGTTAAAGTTTCTTATTAATGTGAAAACAGCTCGTTGCTCGATCTCCAGTTTTATACATATCATGTGCATGTATTGTACATATGATGTGCATGTGGTGTGCCTATAGTGTATATGGTGGGGACGTCATTTTTCTGATTTCGAAAAGAGAGTTGTGAGATCTGGATTTTTAGGTTGACTCAGATTTGTGAGCATATCATGTGCATATCGTGTACATACAGTGAGCAAACCCTGAAAAATTCATCCAACAAAACACCAGCATTTAATGACCGGGCTTTGTTCACACCATCGATGCGAGTCCAATGGTGGTGATATCGAGCCTTGGTTGTTTTCCGTGTTGCCGGAAAATTGCCAGAAAACTCGCGGCCTGCTTGAGTTTCGATCCCAACAATCTGTGATGAGATTCGTGACAAGGCTAGGTGTTTTAGACTCGTGAGGACGAGATGAAATTGGTGGTAGCTTCGATTTGGACAGTGTTGGTCGAGATGACAGTGCACCATGTGTGCACAGTGAGAACGGGAGAGATAGTACATGAGGGAGAAAGTGAGAGAAGAGAGAGAGGAAGGGAGAGAGAAAATAGAGAGAGAAATCAGAAAATTAGAGAAAATAATCCATTTATATATGGGTACTTTAGTAATTTCGGGTTTGTACATGATGTGCATGATTTGTGTATAGCTGATTTGTCCTATTTTGTCCCAAAATTAAGAAATTATCCCACGGGTATTTCCCTAAATAGTATACTCCTACACTTTTTTGTTTTCACATAACTTATCATGGAAGAAATTCTCGATAGCAGGAAATAGCGAGTTCCAGCATTTTCTCCGCGTTTCAATAATTTCAAACAGTGTGACACGTTTCACTAGAGGAAATGTGGCAGCCAATGTGAATGACATGTGTCAAATGTTCCATTTTGTTCATGACTCATGGTTTCTTAGATTTCCAGTTTCTACCGGCTCCAGATTTGCTGTCCTCAAATATGTATCTCGTTTGTGTCTTCTTACTAATATATTGATACATGTTCTTTAACTGAACCTAAAACTAACACTGTTAACTTTATTTATTTAACATTTAAATTAAAAAATTCCAAATAATAAAAAAAACTGTTGGGTTAACGAGGTGAGCAAACCCTGCACAGACGTCTATCACACCGTGGAGGTCAGACCCAAAAGTCTCTTTCTCCTTCAACAGCCTCCTGGAATTCTCAGCCCTGAACTTCTGGGTCTCCTGCAACTTACAATTCAAGCTAATTACACAATCAAACATGCATTTCGTATTCCAGAAAGAAGAAAAAAAAAGCATGAATTTTCAAACATACTTGCAGATTCCGCGAATTGGGTAATTGGGTCAGGATAAAGTATACTTGTGGGGCGTCGCCGCCGTGGCTCTTGGCGGCATTTCGGAATACGGGTTTTAATGACGGACGAAGAATATGAATAACGGCCGATTATGGGGTTTTGGAGGGAGGAGCGAGTGCTAGGCTCCAAACGAGAGAGGAGCCTAACCGGCTCCAGATTTGGGTTTGCTCACCTCGTTAACCCAACAATTTTTTTTTATTATTTGGGATTTTATAAATTTAAATGTTAAATAAATAAAGTTAATAGAGTTAGTTTTAGGTTAAGTTAAAGAACATGTGTCAACATATTAGTAACACAAATGAGACACACTTTTGAGGACAGCAAATCTGGAGCCGTTTCTACCAGAACAATGAATAGTTGAGAAAAAGGAAGGAAGACCACCTAGCATTAGCAAAGCAAAGGATTTTTGTAGAAAACAATGAAGCAGCACCAGGGAAGGCTAGTGTTTGGATGGTGGTCAAGAGCCGGAGGCATTACTAGCACTACCGCACAAGGTTGGCCAAACACGGCGGGGCTGCTGCCATTGCGTTTTATGACAGCCAAAGCGCCCAACCGCGCCGCCGTTCATGGACATTGGCCATCCATCCCTCGTGTTGTTGATGTACGTTATGCTACGTTTCTTGTTCCTAATCTAACGGGCAACCGTTCTTTAATGCACAGGATTGTTCTTTAGTAATGAGCCGACTTCCTGCACATAATTTCTCTTTCCTTGTGTGTTTTCTTGACATCCAAGTGAAAATCGAAAGCACAACTTCTTAGCTATCTTCGGTTATGGAGTGTTAAACGTAGCCCTTGACTATGTTTGTCTTTTAAAAATTAATTCTTCAAAGAATACTGTAGGGCTCAATTTTTCATCTTCAATTATGCATGGTTAAATTTTTCTATCTTGACTTGGGACACACATGTTTGGACCCGCCAAGGGGCTTGACCGCTTGAGGGTTTGCTATATGTAGCATGCCCTTGGCAAATTTAGCCCTGATTTAATTTAGATTCTTTTTGGCCCTTGGCTGGAGATAAATTTTGCATAAATTCGGGCTAAATGTGGCCTATAGTCCTTGGAGATTGACCTTGTAAGTCCCCAAGGTTAACTTTTAATGTGGACAAGCCTTCATATTTTCACACTTATTATTGTGTTTGTAAATTTTAAGGTTAATACGTCAACAAATTGAGTGACGTGAGGTTCGTAGTTGGCCTTCACATATAGGTTAGTCTGCTCCTCGAGAAAGTTTAGAAAGTTGGAGTTTTCAGCTAAAAAATTGAAGTTAAGAAGGTTTGAGTTTTCATCCCAAAAACAAGTGAAGTTTGGAAAGTCGTAAGTTTCATCCCAAAATCAATTAGCAGTGCGCGCGACAATACGTAGCTCAACTCCTTATAATCACATCCAAGATTCTTTTGACTCTCCAATCCTTCAACAATCTTTCAACAATCCTTCATATCCTCGTATGTTTGTCTTACAGATATTTTATAGCATGAGCCATGACATGAAGGTTTTGATGGTCATAACAGCATATGTACGCGCCTCCATCATAGCTGAGAAGGTGTAAAAGCTTTAAATGTTTTCGGAATCCCCGGTCTTTGATGTTTGATGTCTGATGGGGGGGGTCTCTGTTTGTGATTGTGTAGGAGGAAGAAGTAGAGAAGGTGATAGAGAAAGGGAAAGAGGAGAAGGAAAAAAAGAGGCAGGAGGTGGAGAAGGCCGTCGACTCCAAAATCAATCGCAGCCGCTCCGAAGGCGACACCTGCCCTCCTGAGACTACTGCTTCTAGTTAGTTAATCTTCCATCACAATCATAAACCATTTGTGTTTTTTGCTGTAATTTACTTGTGCTTTTATTTGTGTGCGCGCACAATTTATGATCCAACATGATGCGCCAAAGAAAAGAGCTTGCTGTCTATGATTACGTTTGGTGACTCGGATTGGATTAAGACGGATGATGAGGAATTGGATAGGATCAGGAGTTTAGGAGGTAGGATTAGGATGCATTGGATGATGATCACTTGGATTCGTGCTCACAAACTGAGGGTGTTGAAAAATTGGGGCCATTCATAAACTGAGGGAGAACAGCTGCAGTACAGTTTGTTCTGTTTCCTTTCTTGGCATTAAGCTTCTTCTCCTACTTCAACAAGCCTCCCGCGAATCCACTTTTTAGTAGCGCCGGTCACTGGTTTACAAGGCGTTTCCTCTTCTTTGGATTGAACTTTCGTCCCATTGAGTTGAAGCTTCTTGCTGCACTCACCGTCCCCATTTGGTTCTAACTGGTTGGGTTCATTTCTCACATCCGATTGCTTTATTAGCTCCTCAAAACCAAACGGAGGCAAACCATAGCCGCTGGTACTCAGTCGGGGAAGGTCCTCTTCACTATTGAGCATATCCTCCAACGGGGCAGGGTCCTCGAGAACATTAAGCATATCCTGCAATGGGGAAAGGTCCTCTTCGGCATCTACCATATACTCCGATGTGAAGTTGCCAAAGGTGGAGTCCTCGTTTGTACTCGATAAGGTTTTCGTGCCATTTGTCTTTACATTACCCGCTTCAGTCTGACCTGCAACCGCGGTGCATGGTTCCTCCCCACCCTCAGTAATCACTTCATATGATGCAAATATAGGGTTTTCATTCTCATGGGAGGACGAAGTTCGGGTGCCATTTACCCTTCCACTATCTGCTTCAGTCAGTTCCCCAACCCCAGTACATGCTTCCTTTTCGTCCTGAGTAATCGCTTCATCTGATGTAACTGAAGGATCTTCATTCTCGGAGGAAGAAATCTGTGCCGTCTCAACAGATTCAATCAATTGAATTGCCTCAGCTATAAGCTGTCGGGTTTCAATGAAGGAAGCTCGAGCAACAGCGCTCTTTGTTGCAGCAACCTCAAGGGCCATAGCTGCCTTCTCAGCTTCTGCGATCAATAACCTGCAAAGTACCTCCACAACTGATGAAACCGCAACCAAACAAGGGGAGACATGATTTTGCATGCTAGTGAATTCCATGCAAGGAGTGCATGGAGTTTTCAAACCAATCAGTACACAAAATAAGCTTACCTAACTCTTTCTACGGCTTCAGTTTTTTCGGTTTCAGCAGCTGCTCTTTGTGCTCTGATATTCTTTATCATCTCCATCTTAGAACTCGCGAGAGGATCCTTGTACATGGGTGCTTTACTTCTCAACCTCAGTCGTTGCTTTTGGATTTTAAGCTCGCCACTAGAGAAATTGTTTTTCTCACTGACCATTTTCTTTGCAGGTACCCTTCTCGTGGACTCTGTACTACCACTTGGCTTCTTCGTTGGCTTTCTTTCGGGTCCATACGATGCATCATAATATTTTGCCAATGCAGAGCAAACACGGTCGCGATAATTCTGATGCACGAATTACATGAGGAAAATACAGCTTAAAGAAAACAAGGCTCAGGTTCATACTACTCTTACTAAACATGTAAAACATAGGTCATTTAGGCACTTATGTACACCATTGAACACAATTTATATAGCAATGAAAACTCTATCGGAACCAAAGCCGATGATTTGATTAATAACGATATGACCTCTCCAAGATTACCATATTTGCACTTACAGGATCGTTCCATTTTGCAGAGATTGCTTGTGAAATCCTCCTTCTTTGCTCAAGAGACTTGGGTGCTCTCTTGCTTCCTTTTGGCCTACGCATAATTTTCCTTTGCTCGACCCTCTCTATATACTCCTCTGTAAGCTTTTCATCTAAGATCTTGTAGATATCCCATTGCAGTTCCTCTTCACCGTCGTATCCTTGTCTAGAGGCTTCAGCAATTAAGTTCTGCCAGTCATAGCAGCAATGTTCCTGCAATGATAGCTTCTCACGCCGTTTTTGCCACCCTATTCGCACTCCAAGCCCGATTTTAACTCTTGTCTCTTCACTATATGATCAATAAAAAGAAAATACGTAACTAACTGAAACTTATAAATCTCAGGCTTCTGGTTTAATATGTAGAACACTGAAAACCAAGTAGAAAAAACGCTATCCGGAAACAGTACTTAAGTCCTTATAAACAGAACAATGCAATACCCACCTTTGAGCATGTCCAAGTTTCACCAACTTCATTTTGACCTGCATAGCCAAATATTATTACCTCCATCTCATAAAAACACCTAACCTGTGCATCCTCATAAACCGGACATTATTGTCATTTCACAATGAACTGACTGAAGACAACGCCGAAGTTTCGAATGTAGCTCTAGCTGCTCTAATGTAAATGTTATTCTAAAGGCATTAAGATCACTTTATGAGAACATGCAAATTCTTCTTACATGACATCACCTTAGGATTCTGCATTGCAAGCCTTGTTCTCTCTTTGATCAGCTGACGGGTTTCTGCAATATTTGTACTAATATTTAGTGTACAGTAAGCAAAGTGGATACAGATAGGTTAAGCAAAAGGCAGACTGGATAGGCATATCAGTACCAGGACTGTGCTTTCGGCCTTTGTTCCATGGCGTGCTTCCTTTAATAGCATTGGAAATCCTCAATCGCCTTAACTTCTCCCTATCATCCAATTCTTCGGAATCATCACTTGAAGGCTCGAGCTGACCTGCCAGGGGACTGGACTCCCTGCCCAACTGTGAACCGTTGTAACCCGCGTGTGCATTCTCATTCTGAACCAAACTTTTGGATTCAAGAGTAGCAACTGCCTTGATCCGGAGACTACCCTTTGGGACGTTAATGCGCCCCAAGTTGAAGCTCAATTTTATAGATATATGAGGGAGTTTCCAAGCAGATGACAGTTTCTTGTCATTTCCAAAGGCGAATGGACTTGAAATTACTTTACCATAAACAGGGGTTTGAGCCCTGAGTGTACCGAGATGATTTTGGAAGGCAGGCTGTGCAGCAGCAATCTCTGCTGAAAAGTACAGGCATATATGAGATATCCTCAAAGCTTCAACGACAATTATCAGCAAGAGGATCATTCCCTTAACAATTCGACATTTTTTATACACCCACATAAGTTCAAGTTCTTTAACGAAAGCCTTGTTGGTGTCCAGGATTGGATAATAGACATATGTTGAAGGAAGAAAAGATGTCAAGTTCCAAACTTTTTCTAAGTTGAAGATAAAAGATGTGGAGGAAACTTGTCCCTCCTTATCCAACCATTCATGTGGGCATTGGAAGGGATTAGATTCCTTCATTACTAATCCATCTTCTACCATTTCTGACAAAAAATAAAGTATCTTCTACCTTCTACTTGGACAAAATTTGAAAATTGTCATCCATTTCTTCATTCGACACACTCAATCCAGTGAGCTATCCAATCAAATCCAATCACTGACACCAAACGAGGCCAAAGGGTTGTTGGGCAACTCATGAAACTAAAATCCACATATTACCAAGTCTATGCAAGAAGTTCAGTCCTTTGACAATTGAACACCCCCCCCACACACACACATATTGAAAAAGTTGTATGGAGGTCCTTGAATTTAAAGCAATGGGTTTTCTAAAACTACTTAAAACATACTAAAAAAACAAAAAAAAAAAAAAAAAAAAAGAGATTAAATTTGATTACCAAGTGAAGGCATGGAAGCTCATTCAGCCAATTTCAAACTCAGCAGCAACTGTTCAGCAGAGACAGACAGCACAGCATTTCAGGAAGAACTTACCGAACCAGAAAAGCAGAAATCCCGAAAATCATAAAATCAGAAGCAGAAAAGTGAGGTGGGGTTTTGGGAAGGAGAAACACAGACTCTGCCACTGCGAGAGCCACACAGACGCACGCAAAGATACCACACTCTGATAACGGTGGCAGCAGAGATGGATAACGATTGGGTTTCAAACTTAAATGCAGCCCACTTTGATATTTTTTTGATGTGGAGATTTCCCTGAGGCCTCTAGGCTTCTGGGTTCTGATATTTTTATATGGGCTTTGTAATTTTATACGAAAGTGGGCTTTTATGTTTAATGACAATGTTAGAGGATTTATTGATTTCTCCCGATCTTGTAAGGAGTTGCAAATTTCCTTCTTAAATTTTAATTTTAGTTAATTATCTCTTTGATTTTTTACAATTAGCCAATTTTCTTGATGACATTAAATTTTAGAATTTTCCACCCAATTTTCTATTCATTTTGGTCACATGGCAAGTGTTTGAGAGCATTAAAGTATTATTACTAATGTGGATAGCAGGTTGCTCTTTCTTCTTCCTCTTCTGCTAGTTTACTCCGTACACTTTCTGTTTGAATTAGCAATGGGAGTCCAATTAGCAGCTGCAAAGTATTGGCTTTGCACCCAATTTACCTAAAATATAAATACATTTTTGCCCTCATACAGTTGCCATGGATGGATATCTTTAAAATCTAACAATAGGGGAAAATTAGCCATTTATATAAGTTTAAGGAGTAATCAGCTAAAATTAAAGTTTAGATGGAAAATTGACAGATCTATACAAATTCAGAAAGTAAATTGACAAATATGTCATAATGTTATCACCCCGTAGAGTGATAAGTTTTGCTCAATTATTAGTTTGAACCAAAGAGGATTTGGATTGGCTGAATTGTTAGAATAGTATCCCAAATATGATTAGCATGGAATTACGTTGCTCCCCACTTTATTTGTAATAGTTGAACTATTGAAAAAATTAATGTATGTAATTGAAACACCACGTGACATGTCGATTTTGTGTTACCAACTCACCCAAGTTATACTTCATTGGGTGTAATTTAGAATTATTATTATAAGGAACTTTAACGAAAAACTCATGGTATTGTTCACTTTAATGAATGAACATACATAATTATTAACAACGCCGCATTAGGGCCAATGTATGCAGTTGCCCCTACCCTTTTATTGCTACACACAAAATTGCTCAGTTTTTTTTAGAGTGGTGTTATCCACACACATAACTTTACTACCATTCTTTTAGGCGCGTTTACTAATCCGTAATCAAATTGAGAGGAATTGAATTGAAGAAGAATTAGATTGAGGAGGAATTGAAATGAGGTGGAATCAGAATCATATTCCTGTTGAAGTTGTTTACTAATTCACTTCAATTGGAATGAAAACTCGATTGATTACTATATTGCCCTTACATAAATAAATTATTTCCATACTAATTAATTAAATTTATATAATAAAATTCATCTATATAAAAATATATAAATAAGTTTTATTTATTTATTAAAAGATGGCAGGAATGATATCCATATAAGTTGTTTACTAATTCACTTAAATCGGAATGAAAACTAGGTTGATTACTAAATTGCCCTTACATAAATAAATTATTTTCATACTAATTAATTGAATTAAATTTTTATAATAAAATTAATCTATATAAAAATATGGGAAAATTTGAAAATTTGAAATAGGTCCAATTTTATTGGCCTACTTTTGAAATAGGTCCAATTTTTAGTGATTTTTGACTTTTGAAATAGGTCCAATTTTTAGTTACTTTGGACTCATACCAAAATACCCCTAAAAATATATAAATAGGTTTTATTTATTTATTAAAAGATGGCATAATGAGTGTCAAATGAAGGGCAATGTTGGGATAATAAGAAACAAGTGAGGGCATAATTGGTAAATAAACTCCATTCCGGATTCCTCAAGTCACAAGGAACTAAAATACCTCCCTTATGTAGGGAGTCCAATTCCTCCAAAATTAGGAGTTTGATTCCTAATGCGTGTGGACCTCACATATATTTTGATTCCCCAAGATTACGTAAACAAATGTGTATCACGTAATCAGAATCTAAATCCATAAATTGATCCCGATTATGGGTACGTAAATGTGCCAATATTCTCCTTGAGTATGGGTACCCCTGTACCCTATATGTGATAAAACACTGTGAAGAGGCAAAGGCAAGGTATGAAGCAAAAGACAACCAGTCAAAATGACGTGTGTGGTTCATCTTGCCCATGGGAAGAGAAAAATCACACATTCGCAATAACATACTATCATTTGCATAAATTAGTAATATTTTTGTCCAAGCAACTAAAATAAGACGCGATGTCGAATTCATGAATACAATCTTAAACCAAAGAAAGCAACATCTTGCATTGTGGTTGTTAAGCTACTTTAGTCTTTAGAAATTAATTTTTGACTTTTGACTTGAGATTGTTGTAGGTGTAGTATTTGATATTGACCTCCCACCAATATTTTTTTCAACTTAAATTTGTCTAGCTTTTCTATCACATGAATGTTTTAGGTAACAAGTCTCTCATTTTTAAAGGAAAACTAACGAAAAGTTCAATTTTTTTTAAATTTTAATGAAAAAGAATAAATAAAGGTATAGTGAATAATAACATGACAAGGTAAAAATGTGGTTTTTCGTTCAAAGTGAATAGTACCGGAAGTGTTTCGTTAAAACTCTTTTTTTTTAATGGAATACATTAATACAAGCACAACACATTTTTTTTTCTTTTATAAAAAAAATTTAAAAAAAAAAACTAGCTGGTGGGTTAGTCATAACAGTTCATTCTTCTAGAGGCTATGAAAACTCATAGAGACATTTCAATATCTTCCTAATCATCATGATCGTGTGATTCACAAGTACATTAGTCAATTAGAAATGTATTGTATTGTATCGTATCATATTATCATATTGTATTGTATTATAAACGTGACTCAAATATATGTTTGAATTGGTCGGTTTGCTTGGCCGCCTTCACGCGTTCTTCATTTTATTTTGATTACACGCATGCATTCTATATTCTTCCAACTAGTTGAAGCTTCACGCATTCATTATTTTGATTAATTAAGTTGTAACTTTGAATCATTGACCATCTGATTAGTTTCCAAAGCCGCAGCCTCTCCTTCTGGAATCTTCAAGCCTCCTCCTTCCAATTCCCAGAAGTCAAAACCCTAACAGGTCCTCCTTGTTGCTTAATCTGCTTACTAGTCAACTTCAACATTCCTGAGCACAAATGCCATTCCAAATTAAACTTCCTCTATCAAAACCATCAACGATAAAGAAAGCTTGACGATCATAGATAGTGCGTTCTTTATCCACATGCACTCCGAACTGATTATTTTCTGATTTGTTACGCACTCGCGTACGAATAACAGCAGGGAGCTTAAAAAGTGTTAATTAAATTCACTAGCCAAGTTTAACCATGGCGTGTATGGTTTCCTACAAACCATTTGTGAACTCTGAGATTATGCAGACATTCCAAAGCATATGCTTTACATAGGGGTAAATCTATTTCTTCACATTTCCTGCTGGTGAAAATGTTCCTAAGACATTACTCTTTACACCCCAGTTAAAATTGTACAACTCTTTCTCTAACAAGACAGACACATAAGTCAACAAGGAGATCTGGTTGCTGCATGGGGAAAAAAAAATGTGATATCTCTGTCTTTAAAGTGTAGGGAGCGGTAAAGTTCGAGCGTCGTTTGATAGCTATTTTGCTTTTTGTTTCGGTTTTTATTTTTATTTTTAAAGGTAAAAAGAACGTATATGAAACATAAACTTGAAAGTGAAAACAAGAACGTATATGAAACAAAAATTTGAAAGTGAAAACAACTTAAACTTGTTTTAATCTCACATTTTATGAATCATTCCATATACATCTAAACTAGGGGTAAAGTTTGATCTCTACCAAACAACGTTAAATCAAACTTGTTTTAAAGTGCATTGATCTCAACCCTTGTTCACTTCATCAGCTCTCCTTTTTCTTATATATTTATCAAATGATCCCCATTTTCCTTTTAGCTTTTTCAGTAATATGTAAAGCTTAAGCCCTCAAGCTATCAAATAAAGCCTTGCGGCCCGGTGTCAAACTGGCACGGCCTCTATCATACTGATAGTGATGTACCCCCAACTTTCTTAAGTAATCTTTAACTTTTTAACCAAAATAGTTTTTGATATTGAAATAACTCTTCATTTTGTTTTCTAACAATGAAGATCAGTAGAAATAGTACCTGAGTTTGTTCATTGTAAATTATTTTGGTCATGCCTTAAAAATCTGTCAATATCCTCATTAAGTGGAGAAGTTGGTTTGAGGAAAATACCTTTAAAAAGGTGGTCACGTAGTCGTTTGTATGACGATTGATAAAAAGATATTGAGAAACTTTTCACAAAAGACCAAAATGATTTATGGTGAACAAATTCAAGAACCACTTTTATCGATTTTTATTATTAAGCACTAATAAAGTGATGAGTTATGTCAATTTTTAAGGATCACTTTAAGCTAAAAGGCCGGAAACCTTTTAGATAAGTTTTAAATTTGTTAACAAAGCGATAAAATTTGGTACTCATTTCTGTGTGTGTTTCTGCTTTTACCAATGGATGACATGAATGGCTATAACTACTGAACAAAAATCATTTCAGTTCAATTATTATGTCCGTCCCATTTATTTCTTGCTCATGTGTTCACCATTATTGTATTCTAAATGTTAAATTAAAGCCCAAAATCATGGAAAATTGCAGGACCTAAATGGAATTGGATCCTCTCATGAGCAGGAGATCAGGATCCTTCTAACCGAGTAAGATGAGCCGTTGGATTAATCCAACGGTTACAATTATGATAACTTTTAAAGAAGCTCCCTGTTTGTAGCCGTTGGATTTGATCCAACGGCGTGTGTTATTGGATCAAGATGATCCTAATCTCCTGCTCAGGAGAGGATCCAATTTCGACCTAAATTGGAGGAGAGCTCATATAATATTGCTTCCAATGTTGAGTTTTTGATACTAAGATTATAGCTCAAGTAGTTAAAAATTACATCAAAGAAAGATATAGATCTCAATGAAATCGTAAAAACAACAACCTATAATAGTAAAAGGTAGCCGATTTTCATGCCTCCTATTTAGTCTTACACAT